CCAAACACGGATTTCGATGATTTTTAAGGATTCTTTCGTCCCAAAACCTCTCCAACTGCTCTGACTCGCACAGTTCCGAGTCACCAGGAGCTGACTCGCACAGTTCCGAGTCACCAAATAGTGACTCGCACAGTCCCGAGTCACCAGGACTCTTGTTGGATACAAAATCTCCCCAAACACGGATTTCAATGATTTTTAAGGATTCTTTCGTCCCAAAACCTCTCCAACTGCTCTGAGGTTATCCATAAACACGTTTAGACAGTTATAAACTGCAGATAACATTTAAACATCAATTCCTACTAGGAGACACATCTCAAAAGCCTATAAATAGAAGCCTAAGGTCTTCTTTCAAGGGGATCGATCGGAGATCTGAGATTAAAGAAGGCAAGGTGCTGTCAAATTGATCAGTTACCCACGAATTTCAGAGGAGAATCATCACAGCTTGGCGAACACTTTCATAAAGAAAGCCCCTTCGAAAGGTTTGTGATTCTTTTCCCTTCTTTCCTCCGGATTAAACTTGGTTTTAATCTCGAGAAGAGCCACAATCTCGCTTGGTCGTGATTGTCGCTTCCGCAATTGTTTCCTTCGTGAAACAAGAGCGTAATTATATTGTCGATCGGCTTTGGTTTGCGGTGGTCCACGGATTAACCCCGGCACAGGCAAAGATCCCACGTAAAGCAGCTGGAGATAAACTACTGCTGCGTTTTGTTTGATAAAGTTGTAATCTTTATTTTTCGTTGTAAGAAGATCTTATAAAAAGATCAACTCTCTTTTCAATTTGGACTTGTAATCGATAAACGGTGTAACAGGTTTGAAAGCAATGGAAAATGCAACTTTTGACACAAACACCCATGTGTGTGCTACTACACTATTCGTGAATTTACGTATAAAGACATGCGGCTCGAAACCCACAAATATATCTCAAACATGTGCAAAATAAAAATTACAAGAACCTTAGTAGTCGACTACTAAGCCTAGTAGTCGACTACACCGAGTCCATCCATACTCTGTAATAACATATATCAATATTAGTAGTCGACTATTAAGAATATTAGTCGACTACTCTACAAACACACAGTTTTTGTTATACTCAACTGGGCATGAGTAGCCGACTACTAAGCTTAGTAGTCGACTACTCTGTCAAGACACATTCTTTCATGCACAAATTATGCTTATGTCAATTGTACATATCATGACATTAAAGTAATATTTTATACTTGACATATACAACAAGAATTATCTGAATCATCAAATTAAATTATTATATCTTCCAAATTAGGGTTTAACATCCTAATTATATTATATCTTCCAAATTAGGGTTTAACATCCTAATTAAATAATTTCTTCAATTATCTCATATGTAAACAAAGTGATTATCAACACATGATAAAAACTACTCATGAACAGAGGTAAAATTCATTTAAACATGTTTATCTTACTTAGGTATCACAAACCTAGGGTTTAAGTATACTTAATTAATATGAAAACTCAAAGAAACCTTCACATAATATATCAATTATTTCAAATCAGCATATCTACAATTTTCTACAGAATATATTATTAGTAAATTGAGCATGTTTTAAGAATAGTTTTCTCTTTTAGAAACTAGATCCATATAGCTATCATTTGGCACTAGTTTGGTTCAGTTTGGAGTTTATATGATATCTCAAATTTCTAGTTAAAGGTTACACACGTGCAATAACTTTTTGCAGAATATGCCATTAGTCAATTGAGTATATATTTCTTTATAAAAACTCTTTCTTAGAAAGATTTTCTGTTTTGGAAAATAGGTTCATATAGCTTTCATTTGACACTGGTTTTGTTCTGTTTGGAGTTTATATGATATCTTAAATTTCTAGTTAAATGTTATACACATGCAGCAGTTTTCTAAAATCTATGATGAAAACAAAAACTAAACATCTTTATAATTCAATTAGACAATAAATTAGGGTTAACACACGAGTTAAACATAATTATCAAGTTTTTTAAGAAAAATGAAAAAAATTAATCACCCCTAATGTTCATGATCATATTACTATCATAACCAATTATGAAAAGCTAATGATCTAGCATTGGGTTAAGATTTATCATCAAAAATCTCATCTTTTTCATATTAGGTTAAGCCTTAAGTATGAAAATATTGATTAAACACTTTTATAATCATTAAACACTATGGGGATAGGGTTGGATGTAGATGATCTTGCCTTATCACGTGCGCAAGCCTCTGAAACTGATGTGAAACGACTCCTCGTCGCCAAACGCCGTAGATCTCGTCTTTTCCTCGCTTCTCGCCTAACAAGACGATCCCAAAATCTCAACTTTTGGGCTAGGGTTTGAGAGAGAGGAAGGGGGGCTGCTAGTGTTTGAAACTCTGATGAAAATATGATAATTTTCATAAAAACACATGTATATATATATGAAAATCCGAAATAAATCCGTTTGACCCGAATTAGGAAACCTAATCTGACTAGAAAAATAACATTCGGTATTTTAGCTGTAACTTTCTCATACGACCTCGGAATGAGGTGATTTAAGATTTGTTAGAAAGCTGTTGAAGAGATCTACAACTTTAGTCTTTTGAAGTTTTTTAGATTCAAATTGAATTAGTGTATAAAATATATAAACTCTTAACTGGTTATTTTCCCAGATTTCTCTTCGTGCATGTTTTGTGCATTTGTACTCATATATTCACAAATATACATTGAATTGATCTCAAATCAATTCCTATCATACTCAAATATTAAAATATATTACATTTTTACTATATAACATATTTATTATTATTTTTTACATAATATTCAAAATTTTGGGGTTTTACAGCAGGTTTGACATCCTTAGGTTCACATTGGACTGTAACCTTGTGTGAAACGAGGGGCGTCACACTATTGTATGATTATTTATATGTAATTTTATATTAAGTTTATGATTACTTTATTATTTCAAGAATTAAATACTTACTAATTTTTCTTGTATTTTTCACGGAGAATGCTTTGTTAATTAGGACGAAATTGTTCAATATGTTCTTTAAGGGGAACTCATCAATGCTCTTTGCTAGATATACCTTTTGTCAATGTCAGTTCAAGCAATTCATGAATGTTTTCGAATTTTGAGTTTATTTACTTCACTTCTCTATTTGAAATAAAAACATCTTGATTTTTTAAAAAAATATCTCTGAACTTTCTGATAGTTTCTCCTTACAAAATTTATTGTATTTTTTTACTCTATAAATATTATTAACATCAGAGATGAATGTTTATACATTATAATCAATTAATGCTAACTTACTAGATTATAGTCTTTTTGTTAGTTTTATATAATTTAGTCTTCTATCAATTAATGTTATTACTAAAATTATATGTAGTTCCTTTAATTTATATAGTAACGTTAATTTTAATTTGTCATATATTTTTTAAATTTTTATTCATTAACTGGATAGTTTTATTCTATCGTAATTGTTATTTTTTACTAGCGTCAACTTAGACTACTTTTAGATGCTGAAAGGAAAGATAATTTTTAAATTGAAACTTAAATTTATATATCTTAATGAAAGAATATCAAACATTTACTATTTTCTATGCCAAATTTCATCTTTTTTGTGATTTTAAACTTTTGAGGGTGTGTTTTGTAATTTTTTAAACTTTAATAGTATTTTAAAAAAAATTAAATTTTATGTTAGGTGTTTATAATTTTTATATTTTATGAGTTGGTGGTAAGTTTTTAAATGTTAAGATATTTCTTTCAGCTCTAAAATTTCGAGCGTGTTTTTTACAATTACTAAGACTTTGAGTTGTTTTTTGATAAATTCAAATTTTTAGCGATCTATTGATAATTTTCAGATTTGATGTCTACCTGTTATAAGTTTTAAAATTTCAAAATTCTTGTGATTTTTAACTTTTGAGGTAGTTTAGTAATTTATGTAACTTTGAGATTATTTTTTACAAATTTTAAATTTTCAAGTGCCTAATGGTAATCTCTGAAATTTATCTATGTTATTTGCAAGTTTTGAAATCTCTGAATTTAGGGTGCTTTTTTCTAATTTGTAGTTTTGAGGTTGTTTCTATAATTTTAGAAATATTAAGGATGTTAATTATAAAATTTAAATTTCTCAGGGGCTATTTTTAATTTTTAGATTTCATGTTTGTTATTTTAAGTTTTGAAAAGTAAGCGTGTTTTGGATAATTTTGATCTTTTAAAGATATTTTGTGTAGTTTTTGAATTAAATCTTAATCTTATTTTTTTAAAATTGCTGAGCCATAGGTAGTTCATGTGGGGTTAATGTATGATATAATTAGTATTTAGATAGATTAAAATTTAAATAAAAAATTTAAAAGAATATTTCACGTAGTTTGTTAATCTTTTTTTTTAATTCTTAAACTATAGATAGTTCCCGTGAGATTAGATGAGATATAATTAGAATTAGAATACATTAATATTTAAATAAATTATTTAAAATAGCGAAGAATAATAATAAACATTAAAAGATTTTCATGATGTCGTTCTTTT